GACCAGTCTATCTGCGTGCTTATTTCCCAAAACACCGGCATTACTTAGAGATAATATTCACAGGATGCTTTACTACCCGGGACCTCTGAAGTGATGCTTGCCACTCTGCACGAAGCATACCTGCCTCCACCTTTCTCAACATGCACTGTTGGTTGTTGAATAACAATAAAATGAATCTTGTTGGTGCCGCCCTTTATAGGTAAATAGCAAGGTAAACGTAGCTTGAATAGATTAAAATCAGCCTTACGACGCAGAGTGCGAATACAAAACTCTGTTCAGTGGGATTATTGAAATATGCATTATTTTACAGGCTGTGTGAATATACACAGGTTTTATTAGATCGATGTTGAAAGAAATGCCTACAATTTTTAAGACACCTTAGACAATATACAAATCAGTGTTGCCACTTTTCTTTGACAAAAAATATCCAAAACGGTGTCAAAAAATATCTAAAAAGATCTAAATCTGCGTGGAAAAGATCTAGAGAAAACATCTAAATTGAAAAAGTCAAAAATTACATAGCTTTTGTTATGACTTACCCTACATAATCATGTCCTCACCTGCAGTGATGTCTGCCTCACAAGATCCACAGGATAAACTTAGCTTGGATAATGAAGTTGAAGCTTCATATCCAAAATGACCCTGGTATGCTTTAGCTTTCAAATTTCTTTATAAGTGGAACAGTAGGCTTATTTCTCTAGTCTCATCAGGCCGAATTTTAATGGCACGATAGAATTTAAGAGGTCAAATTTCATCCTGTTTTTTTTTTTTGGGTTAGATTTGATATAATTCCTAGCACTGAAAACTGTTTCTACGTCAACATTTGAGTGGGGTAGTATCATGGCATACATGGCACTTTAAAGAGCTTACAGAATAGACTGTTTGATGAGGCATCTTTAAATTGTCTCACTTCACTCCAAAAAGCGTTAGTTTCTGTTTTGTTTGTCCATTCATCTATCTTTATTTTGGTTAACTGATATTCTGCTTCAGCGACACTATTATCAGTAGCTCTTAAAAATTTCATAACTTCACAATATTTAGGTATGTCCTTTATTGGCTGAAGTATGTTGCTCACAGAAAAAAAGTGAAATATTTTTCACAACATCTAGATTTTCAGGAAGTCTCTGCTTCAATTGCTTCAATAATGAGATAAGGAAATCTTGACAGCGTTTTCTTAAGCTGTTCTCTTCATTCTCTGTTAACAGTCCTTTTGTTTTTAAATCATCAATTTTTGATTCGATTTAATATCCAAGGTGTGGCTTAAGAGCTAAATAGCTCTCTATAGTGCAAGTGAGCAAATTAGCTTTAGAAGTTGGCAACACCAGTCTTTTACCGAGTGAAATAGCAAGGTGAGATCATCAGGTAATTTAACTTTATTAACAAGTTTAGATTCGAACAGTTTATTAACTTTTTGCACTTCCATTAGAATAGGTTATAAAAAGAGAATGAATGACTGATTTTTTTCATCACTGTACATTCCATATAGTATTTCAGCTGTGTAGCACTTTTCACTTTGTCTTGTTATTTCAAAGTGTGTCTTCAACTTCAGCCATTGCTTCATAATTCTTTCAACAGCTGGTTAAATTGATAACCATCTAGTTTTGCAATCTGACAGAATTTTCGGTGGTGAGGAACCATCATTCAAGGCTGTAAATAATGTATTTTATTGCTGTTGTCTGCAAATGATTTGGAAAACCAGTAAAGTGTTTCAGCAATAAGGTATTCAAAATTCCTTGGTAAATATTTAGATGAAGCATGTGATAATGCTAGCTGCAATGAATGACGCATACATTTTATAAGTATTAACGACAGGTTAGCTTTCTTCAACTTGGCATAAACGCCATTGTTTATACCAACCATCACTAAGGCATTATCAGTAACTATTACAGCCGAATTCTTCAAACCTAACTGTTTGCTGATTAAAAGGTCCTTCAGTTCCTAAACTATACTTTCAACATCACAGTTTTCAAATTGAACTAGTCCAAGATTTTTTACAAATCGATCAAATGGTCAAAGTTTGAAAATGCGCAGTGACAAATTAAAAACATTGCGACTGATACTTCAACTTTTGCTGATTCATTTATCAGTATAGTTCTGAAAACAGATGTCAGCGGTGTAATATCTTTTAACGAATCTGCAGTTTTATGCTTTTTTTTAGTCTCTGCACGACTCTTTGAGTTTTGATTTTTCGCTTTAATTTCACACTTGCAGTACTTACAACAAGCTTTGGTCATATCCCCAGTTTTTAATTTTGTCATCATGCAACCACTTTCCAAATTTTTTCTCATACTTTACTTTTGGCATGTTGAAAAGTTTCTTCAAAGTGAAAGCCACATAAGAAGGTGAGCAATTTTTTTTTAAAATCACATGAAAAAGAAACGCAAAGTAAGCACAGCGAGGATACTTTTGAAACAAAGTTAGTATGATTTACGCGCGTTTTTATTAATCAGTACCGGGGCTGCCAAATATTTGTGTGTTGATCCCAGTGAGAGTTCAAAGTTCAAGTAATGGCAATTGTCACAATGTACTGCCAGACCAAAACAAAAATATTTTAGTAAATAGTTTACACTGTAATTATTAAATTTACAATGAAAGAAAAAAAATCTACAAAATATCTAACTCCATATGAAAAGTGTCTAGAGAAATATTTACGATCTAAAAGTCAAAAACAGTATCTAAATGCAATGAAAAAGATCTAAATATGGATATAAAAGATCCAAAGTGGCAACACTGGTGTGAATCAGTGTTGCCACTTTTCTTTGACAAAAAATATCCAAAACTGTGTCAAAAAATATCTAAAAAGATCTAAATCTGCGTGGAAAAGATCTAGAAAAATATCCAAATTGAAAAAGTCAAAAATTACATAGCTTTTGTTATGACTTACCCTACATAATCATGTCCTCACCTTCACTGATGTCTACCTCACAAGATCAACAGGATAAACTTAGCTTGGATAATGAAGTTGAAGCTTCAGATGCAAAATGACCCTGGTATGCTTTAGCTGTTCAAATTTCTTTATAAGTGGAACAGTAGGCTTATTTCTCGTCTCATTAGGCCGAATTGTAATGGCACGATAGCATTTAAGAGACAAATGATTTGGAAAACCAGTAAAGTGTTTCAGCAAAAAGGTATTCCAAATTCCTTGGTAAATATTTAGATGAAGCATGTGATAATGCTAGCTGCAATGAATGACGCATACATTTTATAAGTATTAATGGGTTACCTTCCTTCAACTTGGCATAAACGCGATTGTTTATACCAACCATCACTGAGGCATTATCAGTACCACTTACAGCCAAATTCTTCAAGCCTAACTGTTTGCTGATTAAAAGGTCCTTCAGTTCCTAAACTATACTTTCTACACCACACTTTTCCAATTAAACTAATCCAAGATTTTTTACAAATCGATCAAATGGTCACAGTTTGAAATTGCGCAGTGACAAATTAAAAACATTCCGACTGATACTTCAACTTTTAATGATTCATTTATCAGTATAGTTCTGAAAACAGATGTCAGCGGTGTAATATCTTTAAATGAAACTGCAGTTTTATGCTTTTTTTAGTCTCTGCATGACTCTTTTGAGTTTTGTATTGTCGCTTTAATTTCACACTTGCATTACTTACAACAAGCTTTAGTTATTTACCCAGTTTTTAATTTTGTCATCATGCAACCACTCTTTCCAAATTTTTTGCTCATACTTTACTTTTGGCATGTTGAAAGGTTTTTTCAAAGTGAAAGCAACATAAGAAATTGAGCAATTATTTTTTTTTTTCACATGAAAAAGAAACGCAAAGTCAGCACAGTGAGGATACGGTTGAAACAAAGTTAGTATGATTTACGCGCGTTTTTATTAATCAGTACCGTGGCTGCCAGATATTTATTTTACACAGTAATTATTAAATTGACAATGAAAGAAAAAAAAATCTATAAAATATCTAACTCCATATGAAAAGTATCTAGAAAAATATTTACGATCTAAATGTCAAAAACAGTATCTAAATGCAATGAAAAAGATCTAAATTTGGATATAAAAGATCCAAAGTGGCAACACTGATACAAATCTGAAAGCTACAACTTTAGTTTTTAAAACAAATAAGGTAAACGACCCCGTTCACATCAGGAGCTTATCCAGCATATATTGTTTGACTCACAATATTGTAGATCAAAATCACGTCAGCCGCCTTTGATTTTCAGGACTTTACTTCGTACTTATTTAAAACTAGATAGACAAGGAAGTCAAGGCCATTTTGAAAAAAAAATAACCCTGCCCTTGAACTCACAAAATAGCAGATCATAAAAGCATACGTTTGTATGTTAGTTGCGTATCCTTTACATGACGTAACCAACCCAAGCATTTTTTGGCTGTTGTGGTCTGTCTATGCAAATTTCAAAACTGCTTCAGAACGGTCAGCTCTTGGTACCAACTTTCGCAGATAGAAATCGAACCCGGCACCCCGGCAGTACAAAGCAACGTCGCAACGCCTAAGCCACAGATGCCGACATGTTTGTGTGTAGGAAAACAATAATCAATATTCAAAGATTGTATAACCTAAACATAACCAGAAACTGACGTCAACAAATCTTTGATCCTGCTAGTGAAACAGTTATTGCTGACAAACTCAGACATTATGAAACTGTCTGTCTGCGGACTTTAATTTGAAACGTCAAGCGACTACAGTTTATGTTTTTCTGGTCAGCAAGGTTATTGATCCAAAGAGTACTGCATCCATCATTGGCATCGGACTGTCTGAGGACAGGATCGCAAGGATTCGTTTCTATTAAGCCCTAAGTTGTTAATTCTAAATTTGGCCCAGGGAGCAAAAAGGTTACACACCCGGTCTAGGAGCTCCAGACAAAACTAACGTTTCTCTTTCTTAAAAGAAAAAAAAAATGAAGAAGAAGAAGATGTTATGGATGATGAAGAAGAATTATTAAATAAAAATTCACTAGATTACATGTGCATGCGTGCAGTAACAAAATGATGTGTCTGTGTACATACCTTCTGCTCCTTCATAAGCGGGTGGTAAAACTCCACGTAGTCGACGTAGACTATCAGAGGTGTAGATAAGGCAATGGTAAAGATGATGATCAACACCACCGAAATGACCGCTTGCATGTTCGTCATACGAGCCTTGAAAGGATGTACTATCAACATATATCGGTCCACGGCGATCATGAGGATGGAGAGGGTGGATGAGAACAGAGGGACGCCAAATGTGGGCATGGCCACATAACACAGCACCCTGCCAAACATCCAGGTGTTGCTTAGCTGGTAGTGGAGCTGAAGTGGCAAGTTGAACAAGCAGAGTGCCACGTCGGCTATTGCCAGGTAGCAGATGAAGATGTTGGTGACGGTGTGGAGCTGTTTGTAGCGAACGATGACAACAACGATCAGAAGGTTGGCAAAAAAGCCAAAGAGGATCACTACAGAATACAGTATGATGACCACTGTGTGCCACTTGTCATCGCCGACGACGGTCCAGTCACTGCGCCAGGCGTCGTAGTTGTCCGTCCCGTTGAGCAGCACCTGCATATCCAAGCTGATGTTGGCGTCATACATGTGTTCTAGATCCAGGTGGGTGGTAGTTTCCAGGTCTGGACTCATTGAATCTAAACAAATTAATAAAACGATTTTATCATTTATAACGTTTAACAATAGTTAAAAAAAAAAAAAAAAAGGGCCAATCAGGTTATAGGACATATAGCACCAATACTGAAATGCAAGCACGTGAATACGAAAACTAAGTGGACTGCTGAGCGCAATATTCGTACCAAAACTATGCTATCTGTGTCAAACATGGACAATGCCTAGAAGACAGAAGAAAAATACTCATGAGAGAAATGAAATGAAATGTTTACGTTTTCATGCTATTCTAATAAGGAAAGATCGAGTTTGGAACGAGGCTATCATGAAGAAAGTCGATACAGAACAAATACTAATCTTTACTGGTAGACAACAGATTGTATGGTTTGGTCAGGTAACAAAACTGGTAGCAGAGAGGATACTACAGAGAGCAATGTTATACAGATACAACGGTAACGGAGCTGGAGGTCGACCATACAGAGAATAGTCCGCAGATATATCGGAAACACCGAAAAGTACTACAGACGAAGCGAACATGAGGACCCGTTCCAAAGATCTCTTCATGCCCTGGCGCTGCCAGGCGACACCGCTATAAACCGGTTTAGTCCAGAATTATACAGAAGAAAGGTCATGCTCTTCCCCTTGCGTTAACCCTAATGAAGCAGACAGTTTTTGAATATAGTCGATTGTGTGGTTATTTCGAAGGATTAATATTTGCTTCATTTTAATCAACTGCTGCAGGAATATGCACCTGGCGATATACGACGAAATATGACAGGCAATACATTGTACAGTCTATCGTTTGTGTCTTATTCCAATTAGTAAAGCTGTTGTGCACTGACTCGAAATAAAAAAAATAATGCCGTCTCCGCAATAAAGGTTAGAAGCAATGTATTCTCTGTTAACTAAGGGAAGATTACACGGTTTGCGCGGGGGTTTCTTCCATAGTTGGAGTGTGGTACCACTGTTCGAAAACAGCAAGAATGATCTTGTTCTTAATCGCCCACTGCGGAAATCGAGCACCGATAAACATCGAAGGTTATATTATGAAATAATTTTACTTATCGCTGAGCCGCAAGGCTGCACAATCCCATCCTAAAATTGGCCTTGAACTGCTGTTAGTCTGTATTTACTTCTGTTTTGGAATGATGTAACATGGGGAAGAGAGGGGGGGGGGAAGAGGGGCGGGGGTGGGGGAATTTCCGTGAGCCTAAGATGTTGTGGCCATATGACTAGTAGGTCGCTACGAATTGTTTAAGATCTAAGATTTTCTCTTTTGCCTCTGACATGAGATACCAGAGAGATCTAACCACGGCCAGTCGGCTCCCTAAAGACTCTCAGACAAAAAATATCTTTATTAAAACATAAACATTAGTTATTATAATAGTTTATGGAATAATTTAATTCGATAATGTAAGAGTAAATCAAAAATGCAAACAGCGGTGAATGAAGAGTAAGAAGCAATAACGAAATTCATAATCTGTTTAAATCACCACTGATCACTGGCATCATGAGAGCTAATAGACTGAAATGGTTGGGGTATATTGAAAGAATGACAGATGACCGAGAAGTAAAAATTGTATACACAAGGGAGACGAAAGGGGAGACGGATGGTCGTAGACCACGAGGCAGACCAAGAAGAATATGTAGAGATATTGTCCAGACAGACCTGAAAACACTTGGTGTCACCAATTGGAAAGAGAAGGTCAACCAGACAGATGAACGAAGGCGGGTGATATCTGGGGCAATGAACCTCAAAGGCTCGGAATGCTGAAGAAGAAGGTAAGAGTAGGAGCATACCAGCCCTGACGCTGGTTTATGAAGTATTAACACACCCTACAATGATAGGGGACTGCGTGGTCTCGAGGCATGGTGTCCGACTAGAGTGCTAGAGGTCCTGGGTTCAGGTCCCGGTGAAGGCTGAGATTTGTTTGAGGGGACTTCTAGTAACTTCTCCTAGTCTCTCGGTAGTGAAATCGGACGCACGTGTGTATTGTTGAGCATGTAAAACAATTCCTTGGCATTTGGAAATCGAAAATAGCCTAACGTCGCTGCCAGGGCAAAATTTGGAGTTTAAAATCTACCCAAAGTATTTCAGGATCCTGACCTGTGCTACGGGGCCCGTGCATTGTGCTGAGCCACTTTAGACTCAGACTTGAGTTAGAAATAGAACGGAGCACTTAAGGGTTACTCCCTTGTGACAAGATGTTGATCCGTTGGTTAAACCACAAACACCCTACAACATACAAGGTAGGGTGGCCAGGTCACTTACCAGGACATTCTCTGGTGCAATTATCATTGATGCCGTAGTAGCGAGTGCAACATTGGTACTCATTTAAGGCCGAGTCGACCTGGGAGCTTGTGTCATTACATAATGTGGTGGTGTGGGGAGGGGGTGACTCCTTCGGGATCCAAACCGGTTGCCTTCTGATCCACAGACGAGCGACTTTGTCACGATACGATCTCAGTGGTTCCAGAAGTTAGTACTTGTAATAAGTTCTTCTGGTTCTAAAGAGAGAGGATTTTATTTACTCTGCCCTTTACCCTAATATTACTTTAAACCAGAATTGATTTAAATATTTCCAGTCCTTAGTCCAGACAAAGCGACTGACTCTTGGGTAATGTTACGCAATTACACCGGGGCTATAGAATTTCCTTTCACACGCCAGTGTCAGAATGTTATCTCCTGACCAGACTGTAGAAATTGTGTGGACGCTAGACATTGTGGAGCCGGGAGGTCGGAGTTTCGCAAGTCAGTGTAATTCTTGGCAGAACAGGTGTTTGGCAATTAGGAATGTTTGACCTGGGTCAAGTAGTAAACACAATGGCTTCACGGACCGTTTTCACACCGGCTAGTTAGATTCGTTGTAAACTAGATTGGGTCACTTAAGAATGTTTGCTCTAGGGATGTCAGTCCAGAATTGACTGACAGGCCACTTGTTAGCTAATTTGATCTGATAGGTACTTCAGAGGCGTGGCTTAAGTAATCGTCTTGAGGGTTGGGTAGAACCGAGGAAAGGGAGGAGATTAATTTGGACAATAGATTGATACTTATACTTCGAGCCTGTGGAATTCCCGTCATTAATCGCAGCCTGCCGGCAAACAAACACAGGTCGACCTAAAAGGTAAATTTTACGGTCGGATCCTGTTTTGGCGATTGATGGAAAGTTCCCAGGTGAATATTAATTTTAATCTTGTATACTTAGGTTAGGGAGTTAAGCTTAGTCTATACTACCTTTTCCTAATTTGTCTGCACATTCTGCTTGAAATAGTTCTTTGTGAGTATTCAGTATCTCAAGTTAGGGAACTGCTAAACTATTCCTATTTCTTGTATGTTTGTGTCACATGTTTTTCAGTGTATGTTTTCATGTGTATAAAATAAGATGTGAACAATGACATTTGCTATAATGAAATGTAATTATATTGTTTCCATGATCAGCCAAAATATGAGTTTGGACTGTGGGAAATGATGCCCAAATATGTGCAGGGATGCTGCTATGTTTTGTGTGCCCACCATGTGCTCACTTAACGTGTTCAACTAAACAGGGGATTTATAACCCCAGGGGAAGAATGATGGGTGTATAGAATTTACGGTCACTGAAAGATAATATTCAGGACAGCGTGCACATATAAATTGTTTGCGTGTTCAGCACAAAACCTGCGCCACATGTTTATGTCAAATCAATGTCAGCCAGTTGGAAGTCTGAATGATGACGGACAACAGACTTAGAAAGTCAACTATCATGACATAGCATGAGAGAGGAAGGCAGGATATGTGACGCCCATGTAAGACAAAAGACCTTCAGACTAGACTGGAGAGGATGTGGAATATGAGGAGGAGTGATGGGATATATTTTATTCTTATATGTTATATTAATTGATACATGTATTCTTAGTGTAAGTCAAGATACTACACGTATGTGTTTGTTTCCATGATTACAGCGCTCATGTGACGATTAGTCCATGAAAGAGACTACATTGTGTTAGACTCGGCCAGCTGGGAACGAGGTGGAGAACGAGGTGGAGAACGAGGTGGGGACGAGCAGGGACCGAGGTGGAGGACCAGGAGAACTGGGAGGAAAAGGTGGAAGAACTTGACAGTACCCACGGCTGTCAGAGGTTCTATGATAATTAAGTTACGTCTCACCATGTGTTATGGATGTAAACTTATCACCACCATTATCCATTCACTCTAATCTTAGGTGCTCAGTTATCTAGCTGAAGCCCCTCATTATCACCATACCATCACTATCTATTATAACAATAATGATGACTAATGTCATACTCTGATTGCTAGGTTAATAAATCAAATATATGGTCTTATCCTGCATCAGTCTTTGTAATTCCAAATGTCTGTTCTTACATGTTTAATTAAACTGTTAAGATAGAATACCATTTGGTGGGTGCTCAAATAATATGATAATAATTCTTTAATTATTCATAATAACACCGGGAGAAGGTAGATGACGGAGGAATCATTTGCCCTGTCTAATAATTCATTAAGTATAATGCTATAGACATCTAAAATTCCTTGCCTTCTCTTGTGGGTACCAGGTTCAGCTAATGTTAATGTACTTAACGAGCCAATATGGCTGTTTTCTTGGATATCCAGGACTTTTTCTGAGAGCAACATAGCTCAGATTTTAGTTCGGTTTATCTGGTGGAGGGAATGTGTTAAGAGGAACATCCCTACTCAACATTATAACCATTAAATACCACGCGTCACGTCACACTGGCGAGCTCGCCGAGATTTGGACTGGGCTAATTACTCCTAGACTAATGAAGTAAATTTATTAAATTTAACTTTAACTCTTCTGCCAGTATAGTCTAAATTAAAATTAGTAATTTATACATGGGGAGAGAGTACAGAGTAATAAATAACTTTTTACTAAAATCAATAAATGGATAGTATCATGTCTTATCATTGATCACTTCATAACCATTGATTATTGTTTATTTAGTAAATTTTAATGTTGATGATTATTATATTTGCTTGCATGGTTCATAATTTGATATAGACT